GAAGAAGAAGAAGAAGAAGAAGAAGAAGAAGAAGAAGAAGAAGAAGACAACTATAGCATCCTTAGTGCTCCCTGAGCTTCGTTGTTTTCTTACAGACGTTTCATGACCCAACTAGGGAACATCATCAGTGCTAGAAGGGAGTGTGGTTTGTCCTCAGTTTATATCCTAGTGGCTTGTCTTGTCGCTGGCTGGTTGTAGAGGCAGCCACTGGCCGCCCTACCTTCGCTTAACCTTGTCGCTTGGGCTGAATTTTTCCCGGATGGCCCCTGACCCATTTTGTCCGGCTTCTCCCAGGATTCCTGCTCGCCCGACGAGAAGCTGCAGCAGATGTTGGCCGAAACCAGGCAGATGGTGAGCCACCTGGAGCACAGCCACCTCCTCAGCGCCAGCCTGACCGGCAGCCTCCACACAGTACGGTTCGCCTTTCCAATGGGGGTGTGTGTAGGGTGAAGTCAAAAACAGCAAGATGGTGCCCGTCACAGACCGATTGACGCCTTGCCTGACTTTGATTTTGTTTTATGGTTGTTCTCGGCAGACAGGGGAGGATCCCAATTCCATTTGTGAACGGAAGGAGCCCATTGAGGAAGAATCCAGAATGAAAAGTTCTCCTTTAGCTTCTCAAGTAAGTTCTTTTCTTCCTTTTTCGGCTCCTGTTTTTATGCATCGCACAAACTGAGATCTTGGGAAAAACGGTAGAAATTCGGCTACCAAAATTCTGGAAGTTTAGTGTCAAGGCTCTGACAAATCCACCCCTATTCAAATCGTAAGTCTCTAGCTGTATCTCTCAGAGTAAAAAATAAATAAAATTTATTAGGAATGAACATGTCGGCGTAAGCTGGGTACAGCCGATTCTGAGACACACCGTTCATTTCCCCCTTGACCCTGGTCTTCCCCCCCACCATCTCCTGGATATATATTCTCCAATGGGACACCTCCGTAGCCCAGAGTCATCAATCAGGCTCTCCAATAATAATCTTGCGTGCCAGAAGCTTCGGCTGCCTAAGAATTATCTGAAGCATTTAAGGAATGCACTGCTTTCCCCCACTCTCTTTTTGCTGGCAACTAAGCAGACCAAAGGAGTATTTTTTTAGTTGACATTTAGTTTATTTTATTGTCATTGTCCCTCGTGCAATGAAATTAAATGCCATCTTCAGTGTACATAATAACTATAAAAATAAAACACAAACACCCATCCTTCACATTCTATACCATTGAATGGAAAACACCTGATATTGCATTAATATGGCACTACATAGTAGAATTCAGTATAGTTCCTGGGATAGAAACTGTTTTTCAGCCTATTTGTCCTTGTTTTTATTATTATTCTGTACCATCTGCCAGATGGTAATAGTTCAAAAAAAGGGTGCCCAGGATCAGATGGATCTTTGAGAATGTTTTGAACTCTTGCAAAGAGGGGAGAGGGCAACCAAAGATCCTCTGAACCTCCAAACCTTCAGGTTTATGGCCCCCCACAATTTGCAAATTTTGGTGGAACAACGTACAAAGACTCCTCAACTTACAACAATTTGTTTAGTGACTGTCTCAAGGCCCAGGGAGCTGCTCCGGAAGTAAATCTCACAGCTTGCAAATCTTGCCAGTCCTGATTTTTTTTTGTTTCAGGTAGGAGAAAATATACCGTAATTGGAAATGGCAGGAATGTCAGCTGTTTACACAGCAGTGGAAAACTAAAAAAAAAGGAAAGTTTCCAGCCTTGATACAAAGTCACTTTTCAGCTCGGTCCATGAAGTAAATATTATTTTTAAAAATATATATATATCCCCAAGGTTATGACGGGCAGTGTTTTTCCAAAGGCATTAATCAAAACAGAAAAAAAACCAAAACCCAACCTGAAAGTAATTGGGAATGTGGTGCCTCAGTTTGTTTTGCTTTACCCAAAGTTGTTTTATTTTTATTTTCTTGTAAGACCAGCTGTCTTGTGTTTTTGTCTACAACAGGATAGAAAATCCCCTTCCTGAAGGCGAATATCATCCTCGGATTTGTTCACCCACCACTCAATCTGGCGAAAAAAATCCCTTGACTCAATGCTGATGGTCATTCCCACAAATATATATACATATATATATATATTAAAAAATTAGAATTATGCCTAAACGAATAAAAGTTATTTCTAGAAATGTTCTGTGCAGATTAATTGCTAGCCTGCTTGGAGGAAGTCACCGTTGGGTATAATTTTATACAGTTGGAAATGTATTTTTGGAGGGCTGGCTGTGTTTGTGTAGCCCAGCTATTTATGGTGTGAAGTGGAAGTGTTTTGTTTTTATTCGGGTGTTTTTTTAACTGGGGGAGCAGTGAGGTTTCCCTTCGGAAAAGTCCAATTTATTTAAGCTGGAGTCTAAGAATGGCATTTGCAGCCGCTATTCTTCAGTCAAAAAAATCAAAATGGTGGCCAGCTCCCTGGGGAATTCTGGGAGTTGAAGTCCGCCCCTCTTAAAGGGCCCACGTTTGAGAAACACGCTCCAAAAGGAAGCCCGCCCACCCACAGCCACCCACACCTACAACCGGGGCTCAGCCTGATGGGACAGGTTCCTCCAGGACCATTAAATTCCGGTTTCAGGCTTTCAATCCGTGCGACGACCCAGTGCAGCGAAGCACTTAACATACGTGGCAAAAGCCACGGAACCGCTCGTCTCACTAAGCCACAGAACACCCTTCCCCCCGCCCCAGGCTCAGCTAGGTGGCCTGGGCCTAGAGGTAGAGCTCTCGCCTCACAATCAGGGAGGCTGTGAGTTCGATCCTAGGTAGAGGCTGATATTTGGAATTAAGACACTTATCTGCTGAAGCAGGGGATTGGGCTAGATGACCTCCAAGGTCCCATCCAAGTCATTATTCTGAGCAGAGGGGTTGGAGTCGACCTCCAAAGCCCCTTCCAACTCTTGTTATTCTGAGGGGGGGGGGGTTGGGCTAGATGACCTCCGAGGTCCCTTCCAAGTCTTGTTATTCTGTTATTCTGAGGGGTGTGTGGAAAGGTTGGGCTAGATGACCTCCAAGGCCCCTTCCAACTCTTGTTATTCTGTTGGGGGGGCAGGGGGGTTGGGTTAGATGACCTCCAAGGTCCCTTCCAACTCTTGTTATTCTGTTATTCTGAGGGGTGGGTGGGCTAGATGACCTCCAAGGTCCCTTCCAAGTCTTGTTATTCTGAGGGGGGGGGCGGAAAGGTTGGGCTAGGTGACCTCCAAGGCCCCTTCCAACTCTTAGTTATTCTCTGTTCTGAGTTTGTGGCCGTAACTCGAGGACCGCCTGTACTTGGCATGGCCGAGGGTCGCCGGCCCAAAAGGCCGCCCGCCTGCCCGCCCGCCTCCTCCGCGGGGTCCTAGCGGCCTCCACTTCCTCTCCTCCCGGCTGCAGGTCTGGGGCGGGGCGGGGCGGGGGTGGGCGTGGCCCGGACGGGAGGAAGGGGGAGCGGCTGCGGATTGGCCGTCCCCCGCGGGGTGGGGGGTGGGGGGGGGGGGGCGGCGGCCGGGGAGGGGAAGCCGGCGGGGCGAGCGAGCGAGGCGGCCGGGCGGGCTGGAGCTGGCGGGCGTCGCGCGCGGGGAGCCATGAACACCATCAAGAACGTCCCGGCCCGCGTGCTCAGCCGCCGCGTCGGGCACAGCCTGGAGGCGGAGCGGGAGCAGTTCGACAAGAACCAGGCAAGGATATGTGGGGGGGGGGGGGTCCCCCCGTCTTCCTGCGGGGGGGCTATCAGCTTGCCAAAGGGATCAGCGCCCCCTCCCCATAAAAGGGGAGGGGGTCTTCTCGAAGTATCTGTGCCCCTCTTTCCCTCATGGGGAGGGGACGGAGTTGGGGGGGGTTCTCCCCCGTCTTCCCGGAGGAGGGACTGTAAGGTTGCAAAGGGGGGGGTCTCACATTGTGGGGACCCCTCAGACAGATTATCTCCCCCCCCATAATGAGGGGGGGTTTACCAGATGCATCTGCGACCCCCCCCCACGAGTGGGTGGGGGAGAGCAGGCAGGGTGAGAAGGGTCCGGGTTTCCTAGGGAGGGGGCTATCAGGTTGCACACTCACAGAGAAAAGCCCCCCCCCCCAAAAAAATAAATAAAAGGGGGGGGTCTACCAAATGCACCTGCCCCCCTCCCGTCACCATGCTTGCTTGGGCATCCAATTTCTTTCCCTGCCACTCCTCCCCCCACTTAATCTCATGCATTTAATGGGGGGGGGCTTCAAAAAGGAGCCCCCACACCCTCTTTTCTCCACAGTCACCCGGAAGGAAGGCAATTCACAGTTTGGGGACGGAGGAAGGAAATTGGAATAAATAAATGCTATAAAGGGGGCTTTCTCCCCTTCCCCAAACGAGATGCAGCATTGTTGGAGGAGGGGTGTGAGAAAGGGTTTTTTTTTTTGAGGGGGGGCCAAGTCAAACCCCGAAAAAAACCGTAGAGGAAGCGAGAAAGAATCTCCAACCTGCCCAGGCTCTCAACAAATCCCATAAATTATAAGTTAATTATTATTATTATGAATGGATGCAAGGAGGCCGTGGTTTATGTCGGATTCATTGTGCCGCCTTTTAATTTTTTGCACGGCTGTAAAACTTCTTGGCATTCATCTGGGGGGGCGCGGCGGACAGTTTTGGGGTCCCTGGGGAGGGGGGCTGTTTTGCAAGGAGAGCCCTCCCCCTGAAATCTAGGAGGGTGAAAGTGGTCGCTCAGCTACCCCCCCCCCCTTTGGAAAAAAAGATATCAGCACCACTGACTGGCCAGTTGCAACTTCACAACTGGGTGTGAACAACTGTCAGGAAGGAACTGTTTAAGGTGCTAATTCCTTATTTCTGAATATTTTGCTTTTTAAAGCGTCTCTGCCAACTGCTGAAAGTGCCGCTGACTGGCGATGAATTAAAAAATAAATAAATCCACAAATCATTTGATATTTCGGGAAGGGGAGGGGGGGATCTTGATCGGGGAGTTGGATTGTGCCAAAAAACCAAAAAAAAGTCCTTTTAAATGTTGGTTATCCATATATGTGCATGTTGCTCCAATGAACGCAAAATATGTGCCGCTCTAGCTGACCGGTGGGAGTGGAAGAATAAATTTCATCGCTTGCACACAATGCCTTTGTTTTTGGGTGAGCCTGGTCATTCAACCCTTTTCTTCCTGGATATTTTATTTTATTGTTGGGGGAAGACTTCGCTCTTTGCCCGAGATATCGCAGGGTCCCGTTGATCTTTGCAAGTTTGTTTACATATTTTGGGGTGCTGCCCCAAAGTGCTTGTATGCATGAATAGCTTCAGGATAGCTTGAAAAGGATACGCATAAGAATGTTCTTTTCTGAGATTTCCTGCGGATGTGTTGAAATTCGGGCTGTAATTCAGGGATGAAAAGGGGAATGCACTCTGCACATGCTTAAGAGCAGATGCCGTGGCTGTTGCCAAGTTCTGGCCACAACAGGATTTGTTGTTTTTTTCGCTATTTGGTTTATTCTCTCCAGTTTCTCAATGTTGGCCGCTCGAAGAAGGGTAGACTTCAACTCCCATAATTCCTCAGGCTGGGGAATTCTGGGAGTTGAAGTCCACCCGTCTTCGAGCGGCCAAGGTTGAGAAAACCACAGCTCTATAACACAACCGTCTCCTCTGTAGGTATTTGGGGAAGCAAAAATTTAGCGTATTCCTAAGTGATGCAATCACTTATGATGTCATTTTTTTTCTTGTTTTTATGGACTTTTGCTTTTTTTAATCATCTTCTTCATAGGAACTTGTTGCTCTTCAGATTATCACGAATCCAATTTTCATAGCTTGCTGTCCGTAGAGTCGTCAAAGTGAGCAGAGACTGCAAAACATTTCTGCCACTATAAAATATTTTCCTTTTTATTTTAGGGTTGGTTTAATGGAAATCTCGGGTTTATTTATTTAGTTATTTTCCTGTTCAACGTTGAGACCAGATTATTTCTCTGGAGCTTTATAACTAGATTTTTTTCAATGAAGGAGTTAGGAAATCATGTTGAATCAAGTAAAATAATTCTTTACCATGTGCAGAATTCTCTCCATTACTCAAAATGTCCCAAATGCACACTAGGACTGTTTAAACTGTGAGAGTTTTTAAAACCGAACTGTTCCCTTGATTTAAAATATAACATTTAGTGTCTAAGATGGCCCTTTGAAAGAACCAGGAAGTCAGCCTACCTTCTTTCATGGCCACACACCTTTGTGCTACTTACAGTTGACACGGCCTTTACTTTTTATGCAGGTAAACACAAACACAACATGCCCATTTTTAAAAAAATCATTCTTCAAGTGAATTAGGAAACTTTCTAAGTTTCCTTCTCACATTCTTTCGCAAAAGCCTCACATTCCTTCCGACGAACTTACACACAGACCATAACTTTAGTTTTTTCCCAGTTATTCTAGCAAATCCGGTTTGCCAAGGCTTGGAATTTGGGAAAAACAAAACAAAATCCATTACAGATTTGATCAGACCGCCTGTTTGTTAAACTATATGGCCTTGTTTGGAATAACACAGAGAGAGAGGGAGACCGAAAAGAAAAGAGAGAGACAGAGAGAGAGAATTTTAATTTTAATTCTTTGAAGCTGATAAATTGATTTTTTTCCTTCATTTTCTCCCTTTTTGACAAGTAAGAAAAACCCATGTTTCATGTGTAGGTTGTTGTCCTTGAGTAAAACATCCCTTAAAAAGTTTCGTTTACATTACTCCGAAGTTGGCAGTTGCTTCTCATGTTTGTTTTCCGGCATGAATGCATGATTATTATTATTATTATTATAATGTTGGCCTCATAATACCCAGGCTGAAACTTATGGCTGTAAAATGCAGATTGCTCCTGTTAATAGGTTTGCCTTGCAGCACAATCCTAAAACGCATTTATTTAGCTAAAAGGGTTCCCTCAATCTCTCTAGGGTACCTTTGCAAAGTGTAAGTAGGATGTCAGTCTTAAACAAAATATTCCCATGATAGCCTAAGTAGCTCAAACTTACTTGTTGGTCTCTCTATCAAGTTACTGGGTTAGGTAGGACTTAGGTGAGACTTTATTGGACTCTTTAACCGATGTGTGAATTATTGGGGTGATCACTGTCTGGCTTAGCCACAGAAATCTTGGGCTCCATTGTGTTTGTACGTCAAGGACTACTGTAAATCGGTTCAGTCCTAAGATTATCTCATGTATAAACATCTCTTCAGTACAAAAGGCAGGAAAGTTTTATAACCCCTGGTTAAAGAGAAAGCTGTGAAGCCTCAGGAAGACACCGAGAATGCTGATCTTCGGTCAGTTTGGTGCCTTTCCAAAGACCAGACCTTGGTGCGCTTAGTCCTCAATCAGAACAGAGCTGGAAGGGAACTTGGAGGTCTTCTAGTCCATCCCCCTGCTCCAACAGGAGACCCGATGCCATTTTAGACAAATGGTTGACCAGTCTCTTCTTAACAACCTCCAGCGGTGGATGGAGCACCCACAATTTCTGATGGCAAGAGGTTTCACTGGTTGATTGTCCTCCCTGTTAGGAAGTGTCTCCTGAATTCCCTAATTCTCTCCTTGATGAGTTTCCATCCTGGCTTCCGGGGCTTTGGGAAATAAGTTGACTTCTAGACTAGAAATCTGGAAAATAAGAGACTCTAGGAAAAAAGTCCAGAGAAGAGCAACCAGGATGATGAGGGGACTGGAGACTAAAACATGCGATGAACGGTTGCAGGAACTGGGCCGGGCTAGTCCAGGGAAGAGAAGGACCAGGGGAGAGCAGCCTTCCAATATTTGAGGGGCTGCCCCAGAGAGGAGGAGGGGGTCAAGCTATTTTCCAAGGCACCTGAAGGCCAGACAAGGAACAATGGATGGAAGCTGACCAAGGAGAGATTCCACCTGGGAATAAGGAGAAATTTTTTCTGACAATGAGAACAATCAACCCCTGGAACAGAAGTTGCCTTTGGAAGTTGTGGGAGCTTCATCCCTGCAGGCTTTCAAGAAGAGACTGGACTGCCACCTGTCAGAAATGGTGTAGGGTCTCCAGCTTGGGCAGGGGGTTGGACTAGATGACCTACAAGGTCCCTTTCCAGATCCCCAGTGAGGCCAATCCTGGCTGGGCTCCCTGCAGGTACATTACAAAGGTGGCTCTGGGGTTAATGATTAACTTTACATATTGCCTGCCTGATGCGAGATAGCTGATCTTATCTCTAGCTAGGAAAGGTTTCAGAGTCCTTCTGAACCCCGCCTGGGATATTTTCCTTCCTGGATAAGGTGTGATGCAACTTTTCCCCGCTTCCGCCATACCCAACTTCACAGACTTCGGAGCCAGCTAGCCAGCCAGCCAGGGACTCAAAGCCCACCTTCAGCCCGTGAAATGGCCTAGAAGTTCTTAGGACCAGGTAGGGTTCCTTCTCCAGAGGCAGAAAAAAGATCAAAGAGAAGCGGAAAAAACAAAATATAAGATGGATTAGGAAGAAGTTGGAAGCTTGGCATGAAGGATGTTGAAACGGTGGCCGGGGTCTGGCCCTGACTAGATGTCCTTCAGGGTTGGAGAAGGTCCATGGATGAAGAGAAGTTCCATCATCGTTTTTCCTGGCTAACCATCGCAAAGGAAGCCCGTGCCGATACGTCTCCACTTCCATTCTGTGTGGGTTGACGTAATTTGGGCTCTTATGCTCTGACATAACGGGGCTCTCTACGTGGACAGCCCACCTCCTCTCTATACATCTCTCCG